AGTTTTTATTAAAAAAATCAAACTTTTTAATAAAAACACAGGCAAATTTGCCTGTGTTACAATTTAAGGGATAGTATATATTTATTGATATTCTAATATTTGCAGCTCTAGTTGTAACTATATTGAGAATGACTATAACAAGATCAAACTATATACAGTCTTATCTCTTTATAATTACATAGTTGAAACTATAGGAATTTTTTTTAAAAATATGTTTATAAAAAGGTATGCTTATATAGAGGTATTTTTTATACATATTAAATAGTAATTGGGCTCAAATAGGAGTGTGATTATAAAAAGGTTTTTATATAATGTGATTATATAGGAGGCGATTATAAAGAGAAAAGACTGTATAGTATACAGTATATAAAATATATTAACTAATTTTAATAAATTTAAAATTATTTTAATACCAACCACTTTTTTATTTTCAAATTGAAGTGTTATAGAAAGAGATCTAATAGAATTAGAAAAATCAAAAAGATAAATAGTAACTTTAACAGTTCTGTAACACAGAAAACAAAATTTCTTTAAAGTTTCATTAACAGTTTATTATAACAATTTATTACTTGCTATTTGCAATAAATATACAAAAAAATCAACTTTTGTAATAATCAAAAGTCTGAATTATCATTATAAGAAATCGACCAAGTCTTGGCGATTTTCATCATTATCGGCCAGAGTCACTGCTTTTCATACCCCCAGGCTGTAATAACCAATATTTTCTCTTTCTTCTTTCTTTCTTTTTGGGTTCTTTGCTCGGTTCTATATCAGGCTCTCCTTTTAAAGTTCTAGCAATCCTATATTTTAACTTGTACATTGTTTCACCTAGGTCTTTATCTCTCATAGAAAGCAAATATTTATCCAATCCACCTTTCCTGTCCATTATTTTAAGTGCAAGAGGTGTGATCTTGATCGGAATTTTTTCATTAAGAGCTTCCGAATATAACTTTACTTTTTGAACATTCGGTTTCCAAGTGCGTCGTGATTTGTTACCGAACTCAGAGATTTGATTACCGTACTGTATATGTTTACCAGCATAAAGACCTGTCAATGCTTGTTTATAAGTTTGCTGAACCATCCAAGGTGGTTCTTTTTTAGCCTTTTTAACTTTTGGTGGTTTAGGTGGTGGGTCTGGCAAAGGATCGTTTTTTGGATAAAGGTATTTTAGGCGACCACTGGCAAATAGTCCGCGTTTTACATGTTGCTCTCTTATTTTTTTTGCGAAAAGTTGAAGTGTTGGGTGCATTATTCATTATATTTTATTCTTATCTCGATAATCTTGGTTGAAATATGAATAGATTATCGGATAAAGATTGATCTGAAATTTCAGTAAAGTCGGACGAATCTTCTATAATTTAGTTATTTTTGTTATTCCCGGCGTCTGCAATAGAAATTTATCGATTCGGTTATTTCGATTGTCACGGGAATAATGAAAATAACTAAAGATCCGTACTGGATCGATCCGAAACCATAAATTTGTTTCCCGCTCTCGTTCTAACTTTTCGGAAACTACTTCACTGTCTTTGGAAGTTCAATACAGAGACAGCGACGTACGAAAAGTTAGGAGATTCTTAAAACGAGATCGAAGAGGTTTCGAGAAACGAGAAAATTTTAGGTGTCCCAGAATTTATGAAAAAATTTCTCGGCTGACCAAGTGATAAATTTTATTGCTTGGTCGGCTTGGTCAAAAAAATTTAGCCAGGAAGCTTATTACTGTATATATTATTATATAATGATGATTGGATATATAGCCTTCCATATAAAATCAACCAACCCAGCCGATTTTTTTGAATATAGTCGCGCAACTAAAATTCAGGTCGGAATAGGCAGGAATTGAAAAATTTTTCCTAAAAACAATTTTACTAATAAGCGGCAGCCCATGTACTAAGTAAAGTTGCCCAGATGTTAATTTTTCTATAATATAGTTGGCTGGTATTATTGCTTAATGCCGGCCTAGCTCCGTCCTATTCTGATTCGGCCAGGATCATTAATTTAAACATATATTTACATTTCATACATTTTAAAAAAATTGGCTGATTTCGAAATTCCTCAGTTTCGTCCTGTAAATTATCTAACTCTCGGAAATCATATTGCTGTCTTCGGACCGAAGTTCTGAAAATCGCGACGCAGTTTCCGAAGAGTTATATAGTTTTTAGGATGAAGAATAGCTATAAATTTATAACGGAATCTCATAAGTCATGAATCCGAACTCAATCCGTCAATGAATTCGCGGAACACTCAATTCATGTGATTTTGACAAACAGTATTGCCAAAATGATCAATTTAAAGTTTAATACTAGCCTACTAATCACATTAAAAATCTAAACTTTATTTACATTGTTCATATATTGTTTCTATGTATATCTAATATCATTAAATAACTCTTTAACAATTAAGTATAGTTATAATAACTTCACTATCACCAATTTTATCAATTACTTGTTTCGCCAATTGAACACCAATTTTGTCTGCTAACTTCTGCTGCAAATCCTCATCCGAAATCTGTGATTTTTTAATGCTATCCGTTGGAATAT